TGCTTGACACTCTTTTTGTGACACTCTTGCAGGGCACTCTCATGGTGCACTCTTCATGACACTGTTGCTTGACACTCTTTTGTGACACTCTTGCAGGGCACTCTCATGGAGCACTTCATGACACTTTTGTTTGACACTCTTTGTCAGTCTTTGATACCAGGCATCCAAGTGGCCATTGTAGCCATGTGGCCACATGGCCATATAATTCACACCCTATATGCTTCACTGTGCTCCTTGTTCACCATCCAATGGTTACTTGGGCGCAGAAGCTAAGAGGGTGTGCTATGCATGGACAACTTGATCAGGCGCAATCATATCAAAAAGATCAGGCAAGATCAGGGTCTTAGATTGACAAAACCACACTTGGGGTGTGACTGTCTCCAATTTCACCCTCACCGCACATCCACTCCAGTCCAGTCTGAACCTCAGCGCTGCCAAGGCTCAATGGGCTGCAGCGCCAGCACCACCGCTGCCGCTGAGGGAGGGTGGTGGGAATGTGGTGGTTCCCTAAAGGTTCCCTGAGAGCCTAAAGGCTCCAAAGAATCAACTGCCAAGTTCCCTTAATCAACTGCTAATCCTTAAATGCAACCCTCTGCGGAGATCGCGCGTGTCGAGTGCGCGAAATGCAGGCGAGAGTGCGATTTGCCGGCTGCCCACGCAACCCTCTGCGGAGATCGCGCGTGTCGAGTGCGCGAAATGCAGGCGAGAGTGCGATTTGTCCGGTGCGCGCGCAACCCTCTGCGGAGATCGCGCGTGTCGAGTGCGCGGAATGCAGGCGAGAGTGCGATTTGCCGGCTGCGCGCGCAACCCTCTGCGGAGATTGTGCGTGTCGAGTGTGCGAAATCCAGGCGAGAGTGCGATTTGCCGGCTGCGCGCGCAACCCTCTGCGGAGATCGCGCGTGTCAAGTGCGCGAAATCCAGGCGAGAGTGCGATTTGTCCGGTGCGCGCGCAACCCTCTGCGGGGATCGTGCGTGTCGAGTGCGCGAAATGCAGGCGAGAGTGCGATTTGTCCGGTGCACGCACAACCCTCTGCGGAGACTGCGCGTGTCGAGTGCGCGAAATGCAGGCGAGAGTGCGATTGAGTCTGTACGCGCGCAACCCTCTGCGGAGATCGGGCGTGTCGGGCGCGAAACGCAGGCGACTTTGTAATACAACTTTTTAGTACGCGGAGTATCTGGCGAGTTGGAAGATGAGAACTGGTGACTTTGTAGTACAACTTTAGTACGTGGACTAGCTGGGGAGCTGGAAGATGAGAACTGGCGACTTTGTAGTACAACTGTAGTACGCGGAGTAGCTGGGGAGCTGGAAGCTGAGAACTGGCGACTTTGTAGTACAACTTTAGTACGCGGAGCAATCCTTGGAGCTGGAAGCTGAGAACTGGCGACTTTCTAGTACAACTTTAGTACGCGGAGTAGCTGGGGAGCTGGAAGCTGAGAACTGGCGACTTTATAGTACAACTTTAGTACGCGGAGCAATCTGTGGAGCTGGAAGCTGAGAACTGGCGACTTTGTAGTACAACTTTAGTACGCGGAGTAGCCGGGGAGCTGGAAGATGAGAATTGGCGACTTGGTAGTACAACGTTAGTACGCGGAGTAGCTGGGGAGTGGGAAGATGAGAACTGGCGACTTTGTAGTACAACTTTAGTACGCGGAGTATCTGGCGAGTTGGAAGATGAGAACTGGTGACTTTGTAGTACAACTTTAGTACGCGGACTAGCTGGGGAGCTGGAAGATGAGAACTGGCGACTTTGTAGTACAACTGTAGTACGCGGAGTAGCTGGGGAGCTGGAAGCTGAGAACTGGCGACTTTGTAGTACAACTTTAGTACGCGGAGCAATCTGTGGAGCTGGCGAGTTTCTAGTACAACTTTAGTACGCGGAGCAATCTCTGGAGCTGGAAGCTGAGAACTGGCGACTTTGTAGTACAACTTTAGTGCGCGGAGTAGGTGGGGAGCTGGAAGATGAGAACTGGCGAGTTGCTAGTACAACTTTAGTACGCGGAGTAGCTGGGGGGTGGGAAGATGAGAACTGGCGACTTGGTAGTACAACTTGGGTACGCGGAGTATCTGGGGAGCTGGAAGATGAGCACTGGCGACTTTGTAGTAGAACTGTAGTACGCGGAGTAGCTGGGGAGCTGGAAGATGAGAACTGGCGACTTGGTAGTACACAACTTTAGTACATTATGCCCCATATTGTGGACGTATAGTTGTGGCTGCGCACACCTGTGTGCACAATACCTCGCACATCCGTCGTGCGCATCACTCTCTTACACCTTCTCTCCCACCCCTCTGTTGTCGGAAGCTGATATCACTTCCTGACAAGGCCGTGTTGTAGAAGCTATTGAGACTCTGACTGCTTTGTGCTTTTGAAACTTAAGATTCGTAAAGATTTATATGTGGGGTTATCCGGTCCTTTAATTTTAAAAGTGGAAGCGCGCGTACAAACTAAGGCCCGGACCGTTGTGCGCACAAGAGAAAGAAAGGAGTGAGATGAAAGGACATGAAGCAAGGGAAGACATGAAAAGAAAGAAGAAAAAGAAATGTGTGAAGGGGAACGGATGGAAACGGGGAACCAAATGGAGGGGACGGGAACCGATGAAACCAGACCTCATTACAACAACCTAGGAAGACCTGCTGCGTTTAAGTGCGTACAATGTGTGTAAGAACCCGACGGACTCCAATGAGTCTACACAAACTTGGGCCGCTACGGCCACGTACGCCGTGCCAAAATGGCTGGCTGCTCAGACCGCTGCGGTCACGTAAAGGCGTGAGCCAGCTTGGAATTCAAGAAATGAGACAAAAATCTTAGTTCTCTCAGCCTAGGCCACCTACGCTCGCTGCGAGCAGCTTTGTATCCGGGCAGGGGATACGTTCGACAAACCCCCGTTCGACGGGTCCACAGGGGGCACTCTGCGGGCTCACCCTAGGAGAGACACACTTGGATAGGGTGTACTGAACTGAAAGCGGTGCCACACGCCAGCCTAGGTTACCATTTCCTAAGAGTACAAGTGAGAACAAACGGATCCTGGAGGTCTTCAAAAAGGAGAAGTGGCCCAAAGCGGAAGAAACCAATCGACGATCACGGGTCGAACAGGATGACGGCGGGCCGTGCGTGACTGCCAATGCATTAGCCGTATACCAAAGGTTAAAAATTGTGCAGGTACAAGTGGTTGATCAGACCACTCATCCACCGAAATGCCATAGCTTCGTTGGACTGGATAGGCAAACCGGCTCCAGTCCCCCTGCTCAAAAATGAAAGTACAGTGAAGGTACAATCCAAACGGACCCCTGTGAGTACTACAAGGGGCACACACACACACACTTAGGATAGGTACTGAACGGAAAGCGGTGCCACACGCCGGCCTAGAGTTCCATTTCCTAAGGGTACATGTATAAACCACTGGATCCTGGAGGTCTTCAAGAGGAAGTAGGGCCCAAAGGGAAAAAGACGAGCGACGAACCGACAAGATGACGTCGTGACGTGCAAGTCTGCGGAGCTCACTAGCACTTTACAAAAGGAAGAAGGGTGGCCACCAGCTGCGTCTTATAATGCGCCCAGGTGCACCAAGCAGGTACGTTTTCACGACAGCTTGGATGGGTCTTCGTTGGCCCATGCCATCCAAGTGTCCATGGGCCCCCTGCTCTGACAAAAGCCAACCGAACAAATCCAAAAGGATCCCCATGATTCCAAGGGTTACACACACACGCCCCCGAGGGGAGGCATCTCTTGCGCCTAGTAGTAAGGCCAGGAACCCCTAGAAGCACCAAAGTAGCGTCAAAGTAGTAAGGCCAGGAGCCCCTAGTAGCAACCCACACTAAGGTCCTGACGGGAGGGAGGGGTAGGGGAGAAGAGAGAAAGAAAGAGAAGAAAGGAAAGGGGAAGAAGGTGTTCCCAGCTACGACACACGCGTCCAGGGACACACCAAAGGAAGAGAGGAAAAGGGTTCCCAGCTATGACGAAAGCATCCAGGGACACCCAAGGAAGAGGGTAAAGAGAGGAAAGAGAGAAGGAAAGAAAGAGAGAGGGAGAGGAGAGAAAGGAAGGTGTTCCCAGCTACGAACAATCGTCCAGGGACACACCAAAGAAAGAGAGGGGAGATCCTGAGTATTCCATTCAGGAAAACCCCAGAAGCAAAGAAAGAAAGAAAGGGGAAGGGAAGGGGGAGGAGGGGGGACTAAGCTCGCGACAGGTTCCAAAGAACCTTGAACAGACTTCGGTCGCTGCGACCACGTACGGCTTGCCCAGGGGCTGCCACCTTTGACCGCTACGGTCACGTAAGGGCATGAGCCAACTTGGAATTCCAAAGATGAGACAAAAATCATCGTACGTACGGCCTAGGCCACCTACGCTCGCTGCGAGCTGCTCTGTATCCGGGCAATGGATACGTTCGACGTACACCCGTTCGACGGGTCCACGGGAGGCACTCTGCGGGCTCATCCCGGGTTGGCACGAGGCCAAACACACTTAGGATAGGGTGTACTGAACTGAAAGCGGTGCCACACGCCGGCCTAGGGTTCCATTTCCTAAGGGTACATGTATAAACCACTGGATCCTGGAGGTCTTCAAGAGGAAGTAGGGCCCAAAGGGAAAAAGACGAGCGACGAACCGACAAGATGACGTCGTGACGTGCAAGTCTGCGGAGCTCACTAGCACTTTACAAAAGGAAGAAGGGTGGCCACCAGCTGCGTCTTATAATGCGCCCAGGTGCACCAAGCAGGTACGTTTTCACGACAGCTTGGATGGGTCTTCGTTGGCCCATGCCATCCAAGTGTCCATGGGCCCCCTGCTCTGACAAAAGCCAACCGAACAAATCCAAAAGGATCCCTATGATTCCAAGGGTAACACACACACACACCTCGAGCGACGGGCAACGCGAGGTTACAATGTTCATGTTTGGCCTGAGACTAGACTTGACCACGCTAGACTAGACTATATACAGTAACTAGACGCAAGGGTTCTGATGCGCGGTGTCTCGGTTTGTCGAGATTGGCTTGACCTCAGGACCTACCACCAGACCAGCTTAGACAGGAAACAGCACCGTGGAACAAAGGTTTTCAGCGCAGACTCTTGTGGAGCGATGCCGGCAGGGATGAATTTGACACGTAAAAGTTGTTTTGGAGTCGGAAGCTGTGTCCCTTGACATGCGGCGAGTATATTTTACTCAGGCAGTTTTCCACAACGTCTCGGCCGGGGGGCAGCGTTGAAGCTCATGAGGCCGATTGCATTGATCAGGCTGATGGGTACCAGTCAATTAAAAGACATGAATGCCAGGCAAGAAGATTCATTCAAGCGATGAAAGGTGACGCGGACGATCAGAACAAAATTGTTGCATCTAGCGATGAGCAAAGCGCAGAGACAACTTTGCACGTGGCAATGCAAGACCAATTAGATTTTGCATGAATTTTAATGGCTACTTTGAGTAGTTTGTAAATCTGACAAGAGTTTTTGGCCTGCTTCAGTGGGTCAACAAAATGTCTACGGCATCGAATCCTTGAATAGAAACCCCAGTCTGAGTCAGTTGACAAAGGAGTAATCTAATTAATCTATTACCAAACTGGCATATTCCCACCTAAAGGGAAATCGAGAATATATAGAGCTACACCTAGACTCACTTGTGTACTTGTGATTGGCCCGCTTGGTAGAGAAGCAAAAGGAGAAGAATCGTCTTATTACGTGTATAATTGTGTGTATTTATATATATATATGTGGTAATCCGCCCCCGGGTGTAAAGAGTGAGTAGCCTAAACTTCTTGTTCCGTAGTGTTTCGGCTTATCGGGGTGAATGACAGCCTGTCGTGGCTGTGGCAGTCGCCTAGGGAAGCCGACAGGTTCATCGCGGTTTTGTGATCCCTGTTTTATCGTGGTCAGGCTCGAGAAGCTTGTGTTCACGAGAGCACCTCCCCACTCGTCTTTAATCTCCTCTGGAGCTGCTTCCTCTTCCTCCTCATCAGTTGCAACCTCTACTCCGTCGTCCTCCTCTGCCGGTGGACTGGTTGGCTTCTTGTCAACTTCTTTCTTCTTCTCAGGGCTTGGACTGCCCCGTTTTTTATCCTTCTTCTCTCTGCTCCTTCTGCGAGTCCGTGATCTTCGAGACCTGGATCTTGATCTTCGCCTCCTTCTCGAGCAGTCCTTCTTCTTTGCTTCACCCTTTGGTTCGGCTAAAGGGCCTTTGTCCCCTTCTGCCTCCTTCTCCTCCTTCACGGCCTTGCGCGCGGGTGCTGCTTCCGAGTTGGGCGTACCCTGATGTTGCCTTGAAAGGGATCTGGCCCCGAACCTCCAGGCGGCTTCCCGCTTGCAGAATCAGAGACTGGCGCTCCGGCACTGTCCACGTAGTAGCCGGCCGTGCGGTCTGACTCGTACTTCTCGCAGGTCTCTTCCACTGCATCGCAGACCTTCCTCAAATAATGGAAGAGCTGAGTCGCGGACGCTGAGGCAGACAAGCGCTACAGTCTTACACGGATAGCAAAGCCTTCAGCAAGAAAGCCTTTGCCCCGACGGCCGCGTACACCATCGCATTCGCCGCCGAGGTATTACGAGGAAGAAGAAAGGAAAGCCCGACGCTGGAAGGGGTACAAGCGCGTCCTCAGAGGACAGTACTACTCGAACCACGGCGGAGGCCGTGGTAAAGGAGGAGGAAAGGGATGGCGCCGAAAGTAGCACGCCGACGGGGGGGGCATTTTGAGGAGGCCAGGAGCAGGACAAGAGGGAGATCGGGGACGAATCCCTGTACCAGAGGAGGAGCCAGCCATTGGGGGGCTGATCCATGGAATGGAAGCCAGCTATTACGGCAACGCCTGCCAGTTTTCTGGGAAGGTCATCGAGGAGCTCAGAGATGCATCGGGGCGTTACTTCATGGTGAAGTTGACGGGTATGGACCTCGAAGCCCTGTTGACGTGGGTTTCAAGCAAGACTCCGCACGCAAAGGTTCACCTCTGTCTCGCCGACTGCAGTCAGGAGTCAGAAGGCCCTGGACTGGTGCACTGCCAGAGGTATGGGGGGATAAAGCCCTGGACAAGTTGGCCGATCTCGTCTGGCGCGACGTCTTTGTCAGCGCCGTGACTACGACCGACGAATTGGCAGGACTTGGAGATCGCATGGACGAGCTTCCCGACCCAGGCTGAGGAGATCGAGGAGCTGGCGTGAAGAAGGCTGCAAAGGAGGACTCAAAGAAAAAAACAAGATGGAGCCCACGAACCCGAATGCAAACACGTTCGAAAAGCTACATATGTCCAAATGACACTCTTGTAGGACACTCTTGTGGGACACTCTTGTAGGAAACTCTTGTGGGACACTCTTACGGGACACTCTTGTGGGACACTCTTGTGGGACACTCTAGTAGGAAACTCTTGTGGGACACTCTTGTAGGAAGCTCTTGTGGGACGCTCTTGTAGGACAC